AAAAACATGGAACTAATGTGTTTCATATTGTGGTAAAAATCCCCCATCCTGTTCACATTCCCATAAAATGTATTATAAAGCCACACTAAGGTATGGCTTTTCTCATCACATATAAGTAATTCAAATGTAATTTTAAAATAGTAGAAAATTATAACATTTTCCCCCTAATAATACTCTTACTAATCCACTTTTACTGTGTATGGTTCTCAAAGAACTTTAGTAGTTGACTGTTTTGGAAAAGTACAAACCAAAGCTCCATCCACTGGCTCACATACACACCACCACCACTAAATGACTGCAAATACTGAGGAAAGAGTTTCAACAGGAAAAACAATTATTGGGCCTCTGTATCCAGGAAAAGCAGACAGAAGGAATACAAGGTTAAATCAAAGATAATCTTGCTGGTTTTTGAGGTTTAGGAAGCACAAAACCTAACTTAAGCATCTTGGCACTAACATATTATCTGGTCCGGATTCAAATCCCTGATGGCTTCATTTTACACACTATCTTGGACATAGCTGTTATTTCCCATGTAGACATCAGGACAATATGAACATTTTTATCCACTAGATGGTGCTCTGGCGCCCTTTACTGATGGTCTCACTTACTTGCAGTCTCTGTCCTCCAAATCAAAGTGAGGGTTGAAGTTGATCATAATTCTCTGGTATGGTTCAGGAGCCTGAATCAGCCATTCACATTTTTGGCTTGGATGATAGGAATTAGGATAGCCAGGAGAAGTAAGGTACCCAGGGTTTACAATTTTTATATTATCACCGCATTTATCTGCAATGAAAACAAAAATTTCCTGTTCAGTTTATCGGCTCCAATCAATCACAAATCTTCAAGTACAGCTGAATGAGTCAATGTGATTAAAATGTTGTGTTTTCTACATTTCCCTTTAGCAAATTTTTATTGCATTCTAGGCGTTTAAAGTAATCTCTTACAGATCACATTTTCTGTAGGAAAGAATATAATGCAAAATTTGGATGTACACCAGTTGTTGCTTCCAGGGCTAATCCGTACAAATGGTGGCTCTAATTTTGAGAGGCCAAGTTTCAAAACTGTTTCTCTACAAAGGTTCCTTTCACAAATAAAACCCTCACAGCATTAAAACATTGCATCCTCACAATTGATGTTAACACTGGCTCCGAGGGGTTTCATTTAGATTTATCTCAGAGATGTGTAATCTTATTAAGGAACAAGTTTTAAGTGGAGAGTGACTAAAAAGATGCTGTCTGACCCCCTGCACAGCTATTCTGATGATAAGCCTGGTCTGTGTCATTGGCCATCGGGGAGTTGTCTTCATAGACCCCTGCTCGCTTACAGCAAAGCCTTCTTTTGTTTTATCAGTCCATAAATCTAAGCAATTTGAAGTTATCTGTGCTCCTTAGATGCAGACTAACAGAGAACAAAGTGCATTTAGTGAAGCAGAAATGATTCAGTATTACTCCTTTAAGGAAGTTTGTTCATGCTTGGAGACCAGATCAAAGAAATGGAGCAGAAACAACCCTCCCTTCCTCCTTCCCCCCCCCCCCAAAAAAAACAAGACCCAGGTTTATTTCTAATTGCAAAATAGTTGGAAAAGTTACCACAGTCACCAAGTGCAAGTATGAAATATAGTGGCTGCATCTTGCTCCTTTGGCAAACAATATTAGGATTACACATTTTAAGGTGTATTGGAAGAACAGAGAGGTAAGTAATCCAACCTGTAAGGTCATTTGATTCATTATTCAGTGTAGGTTTGCATTGTGGCTTTTTATTATTATGGATTTTTTACCATAGATCTTCAGCTAAAGAAACTTTCCCTCACATACTGATACGCAATTTTCAGCAATAAAGTATGAGAATAAACTACAGAAGGAAAGCATATATGCACTAATAAATATAAATCAACATATATCACTATTTCTCAATAATGGTATATACAGCTTGTAATACTGTATCTCATAGATTCCCTGTGGAAGGAAAATGTCATTCTTTGCTCTCAGCATGAATTTATAAATGTACAGAATTTTATTACAGGAAAACCAGGTCAAATGGAAATGAAAGATGAAGTGCATATAAAAAATGCATAAAGCTACAAGCATTATAGAAATCATTTGCCATAAATTAGAAAGGAAGGAGACGACATATATGATATTGTTTGTTCAAAAGCAAGATATTTCTAACCATATTGCTTGGGTTGGCCCTAGCCTGTTATTTGTTTCTGTTTTTGCTTTCTAAAACCAATTGTTTATCTTTGCCAGGAACAAAAAGGTGTTGCAACCAAGAGATCAAAATCTGCAGTTAGTGATCTCTGTGATTCGCCTGTCTGTGGTTCCAAAGGAACCTAGCATTATTTCCAATGTGTAGCAGACTTGGGAAGTGATCCTGTCTGATTAAGTCCACTACGACTCTGTGCAAACAACATGGCAGGATGCAGAATCTGGCATCCGTTCAGTGAGTGAAATAAAACAGTGCTGTTTCTAGTCACTTGACAGAGTCACTTCAGAAGACGTTGAGGCGGACTCACTACCACCAGTGCTGTTTAATCTGCGACTTCTGGGAAAGTGACAGTATAATAAGATAATGTGGACTGCTAGACTCCCTGGGTCTGTGAAATCTCTCCAACACTTAATTAAGAACGGCAGTTTTCTGATGACTTTGGACTATTAGTTCTAAATAAGGTTAATGAATTAATTTAGTAGACACTAATATTGGATGGAGGTGGACATTGGCATTAGCAGGTCTGGTAAGTTACAGAAGAGGTTAATGGCCTTGGTGACTACAGGAGGGCTATTATGTCTATACCTACACAGACAGCCTGCTTCTCAGACAGTTTCTTCATCAACAGTACTCCCTATTTCTGCTCTGTATTTAAAGGAAGAATATTATCAGTAATATTGCAATGTCACCCCTACACCTCATTTCATTTAGTCCTATACGCTTTGGTTCAACCCCCATTATTTTATCACTTCTGCTACTGCTCCAAAGTGATGCAGAAATATGGAGCAGTCATTTTACATTTACAAATAATGGCTTCAGACAGAAGGAGGAGGTTATTGTCACTCCCCACCTCCTTACCTACAGCTCACAAGGGTTAGACCAGGCTGGATCTCACTACAGATTCACAACCTAAGACTGGCACATGCTTTCTTTCTTAATGTGTTTGCTTCTGTGTCAAATCACTGGAGGAGGAATCTCTGGCTTATTAAATTAGGCAGCCTCCTCAAAATTTATTGCAAAGAGATTAACTTTCATCATAAAAATGTGATTTACATTCCTCTCCTTGCAGGACACTCCACTTGTGATCTCTTATTAAAACAATATACCACTGCAAGTGGAGGATGCTCTCTTCTTTTAATTACTTTGATTGAAAGCCTAGTCAGGCAAAAGTAAATATTTGATAATTAGTTAATAATAATTGCTCAGGATTTGCTGGGAAAGGAAAATTCACAGGAGTTCTTTCATGTCCGCTAGTTAAATGTCAAACAATCCTACAATTAGACCATCTTTAAAAGTGCATAATTCAGGGAAATATTCAGTGTGCCGAGGAGGCATTGTTCAAAGAACGAAGAGCTGGTTGTTTTTAATTAGCTGTGTTTTCAAGTGTTGCCTGAAAGTAAATTAGATATAAAAGTCATTGTTATGGGATTTCTCTATTAGAACTGAGTCCCAAGCCCTTGCAAGCCTACAGATTCCTCTATAGACACTATTCAGGTTCCATGAGAACTCCAGACTTTTGCAACAAATAGATTATGTCTTACTTGACCAGGCTACCTGCCAGGTATCTACAGCTACACAAGATGATATTTTGAATATCTACCCCCACAAAAAGCCTTTCCTTTAAGGTGCTCTTATCTTGCAGATTTTAAGAGTCTTATTTAATTGCCAATGAGAGGAAACATTATTATGATAATTGGCTTCCCTAATCTTGTGAAAGCGAGCAGCCCTCGTTTATATAACAACCGAAAGGGGATTGAAAATAAAGTTGAAAGCATTGTGATGATTATGTGACACTGTAGTGCAGATCAGGGATTTTTACTGAAAAGTTCCCTTCATCCTAGTAATCAGGTTGGTCTTCCTTCCACTGCAAGACATTTCTCCTTGTTTGATTGTTATTAGAACTCACGAATGGGCCCTAGATCTGAAAATATTATCTCAATAACTTGAAATCAGTTGTCTTCTATGTCACTTACCGCTCCTTAAAGCTCTGGCTAGGGTGAAGGTGAGGGCTGCACAGTGCAGGAGAAGTCCCCAATCCATCCTCCTTTCTGATTATAGAAGAAGGAGAGAGAGAGAGAAAAAAAACCACCCCTCACAGCTCCTAAATCCTGCGCCTGGAGTTAGGGGCAGAACGCTAGGTCCGCAGCAGCAGCTGAGTCCCGGTGGCAGAGAGAGACGCTTCTTTTTGTGTGTGTCTCAAGTCGCCTGCATCCCGTCAGTTAGCTCCGGTTTCCTCTCCCTTTTCCCACACTCGCTCCTTTTCCAGGCGTCGCTGCCCCTGCCATTTCCAAAGAGGCTAGAAAGCCAACTGACAACAAAAACAAAAATCCTGGCGGCTTCTGGAACCCCCCGGAAGATTTCTCCAAAGGAGGGGCTGGTCTGCGGAGAGGAGAGAGAAATGATGAGCAGAGAGAGACAGGAGTTTTGCAAACTGCGTCCCTCCCTTCCCCAGACCAGCTCGCCTGTAACTCAGCCACACACAGAAGTTTCCCCCGCTCTGTCCCCTTTGTATGTGCGCTCCAGCAGCCCCGGTGTGTCAGTGCCTGAGACTAACCTGCTCTGTAGGGGGAGAGCGCGGGGCACCACGGTTGGCTACCGCCGGGCACCTGCAAACGGGACACTGCTGCTGCCGGGCGGGTGAGCGGCTCTGAAGGGCAGCCAGGCGGAGGATGGGGATCGTGGGGAAGTGTGAAGCGCCGGGCGGCTCCTTCCTGCAGCCTGAGGAGGAGAAGCACAACTCAGTGGCAATAAGAGAGGCAGAGGAGCCGCCGTCAACACAGCCCCAGTCCCCTCCCCCTCCCCGCCCTCCTCCTCAGCCCCCCAAGACATCGGCAGAAAGGAAGGAACAACACACAAACAAAACAGGCTGGGGCCCTGAACTTCAGCGGGGGGCTGGGAGCTACTGCCAGAGGCGGCTGGGAGGAGAGGGGCCGCCCCTTTCCCAATGGGGACGGCAAGTCGGAGGGCCAGGTAAAGCCAAGTGAAACTGACAAGGCGTGCGGTGCCCATGTGCAGCGGGACAGAGCCGGGAGCAACAGCGCGGTCATTAGGCAGCAGACTCCAGCGCAGCCCCCCCGTCCAGCAGCCACTGCCGTCTGCCCACCGGGCACTACCCATCACCTCGTCCCGTCACCTCCCATTCACAGCACGGCGTGTCCGGTGCTCACACCCAGCATGGCTCAGTGCCCAGCGTGTCCGTGAGCCACCATCCGCACGCCGGGTCTCCCTCCCCTCCCTACCCCGCGCCCTTGGCTCCAGGCTCTCCACAACCTGGCTCCTCTCCCAACCGGGCTTATTGTCCACTATGGCCACTCTCCAGCCTCCGTGCTCGCTGCCTACCATCCACCATGCACCGTCCAGTGCTTCCACCATCACTGCCCCCATCCTTCACTGAGCAATGTTCCCAGAATCCCCACTATTCACTGCCCACCATCCACCATGCACCCTCCAGTGCCTTCACCATCACTGCACCCAACCTTCACTGTGCAATGTGCACATATCCCCACTATTCACTGCCCACCACCCACCCTCCAGTGCATTCACCATCAATGATCCCATCCTTTACTGTGCAATGTGCCCACCATCCGCTGCCCACCATCCAGTGTATCCACCATCACTGCCCCCATCCTTCACTGTGTAATGTGCTGCTCACCATTCTCCATTACTCACTGCCCACCATTGGCCAAGCCCATCGCAGTATGTTCGGTCTCTAGCCCCGTCATGCACCACTCAGTGGGTCTCCCCTCCCTCACCCCTCCCTGTCCAGTTGTGTTCAGTATCCGCAGCCCAACATCGCCGGTGTCCGCTATGATCCGTCCATTCACCCCAGTCCCACAGCCTCCGCTTTTCACTCCCACTCTTCTCCTCCCTCCCGCTCTCCGCCCGGGCGAGCCTGCCAGCCAGGCAGTGTGTCGCCACAAGGGCAGGTAGTACACGCGGGGCATCAGGCTCCCGGAGCCGCACGAGAGGCTCCCCGGGGCGGGGGATGACACTTGGGGACTCGTGTCCAGCTCCCGGCTCTGCTCGGAGACGCTCGGTGGCAGGGTGACCCCGCGCGCCCGGGGCTGGGGGAAGCTGCTCGCGGGCACCTCCCCGGCGGGGGCACGGGACGCCAGGCAGCCCGGCGCCTCCCGCGGAGCTCGCCGGCCCCTTGTTACCCCGCCGCCCCAAGCAGGCGGGAAGGGAGCCGCCGGCGGCGTCTCGCGCAGGGGGCAAGAAAAGACCCTTGGAGGAGCCAGGACCCACCCAGTGCCCCCGAAGGAGCGCAGCGCACGGATCTGGGAGAGCCCCGCCGAGCCCCGCCTGGCCGGGCTGGGGGGCGCAGCGCGAGAGTCCCTTTCCGCCGGTCAGCCGCAGCTCATAGAGGTGGGGGAGCGACTCCCCGCACCTGGCGAAACCCCTTCGTTTCCTCTGCCCCGCTTCTCCCGGCGCTTTCCTTCCCATCCCCTGCTACTCACTGCGCTTCCGTCTTGCTTCCCGCTCCCTGCCGTCCCTCCCATTGCTCCCCTTCCCTTCCTCTCTCCCCCCAGCTCCTGCTCTCCTTCCCCTTCCCTCTCCTCCCCCTTCATCCCAGCTCCCACTCCCCTTTCCCTCCCCTTCCTATCTCCCCCAGCTCCTGCTCCCCTTACCCTCCCTTCCCCTCTCCCTCCAGCTCCTGCTCTCCTTTCCCTCCCCTCTCTACTTCATCTCCTGCTGCCCTTCCTTCCCACTCCTCCCCTCTCCACCTCAGCACCAAATTCCGTTCCCCTCCCACTCCTCCCCTCTCCCCCCAGCTCCTCACACTTCCCCTCCTCCCTTCTCCTGCTCCCCTTCTCATCACCTGAGTCCCCCTGGCTCTCCCTTCACAACCTATTGCCTCTCCTCTTTGGTCTCCATCCAGACTATCACTTCCTTCCCACCCTACCCTTTCCTAGCTTTCCTAATGCACCCCAACCTCACAATCTCCTTTCCCCACCACATAATAAGGGGCTTGAGGGGCAGTACAGTTATCAAGCTGATAAGCAAACCCCCTTTCGCCAACACCTGGGAACATGCAGGGAGAGGCTAACAAACCTCAGGGAGAGATGTTCAGGAGTCTGGCACTACTGCTGGCAGCAGATCCTTTCCTTTTCTTTCACTGTTTTGTGCTGTCCAGCTACTGGGACTATCTCTACCCCACCCCATTGGTCTGCCTTGCACAGTGCCCCACTTCCCATTGAGTAATCACCTGTCTGAAACTTGCTGCTTCCTTCATGCAGAGCACATTCAGGTCCCTCTTTAGTCAGCGGAAATGCTTTAAAAGCTCTGCCAAGCTGGGTCTGCACTGGGAAAATGACTTGTGGCTGAGGATGTATGTCAAGCACGTGTTCCTTCTCCCAATAGAATTTGAAAACTGTTTGTTACTAGTGTAGTGTAGGGACAGACTCTGTTTTCAAAAAGCTTGTCAGGGATCTCATTCCACAAGGTGTTTCTTTAAAGGATGCTGTGATTGCAAGTTTGGCCCTGTTGAGAGCCAGGGTCATATTCCTAGGCTAACCAGAGAATAAATCCCTACCCACTCTAAAGATACATTTGAACTATATCTCAGACACAGTTGTGAGAGTCTGCAGGCACACACAGAGTAGTTACAAATGTGTTACATCTGTGTTCAGAAACCATATGCAGGCTCAGCCTTCTCTGTTCCTTTGTCTCCACACTTGGGCCTAAGCCCTGGACTCACTCTCAGTTGAGATCCCTCTTTTGCCTTTCTGAGCAGATTTTCCAGCCCTATTCAAGCCTTGATTTCAGGTCAATTTATCCCCAGTCTGCAGATTTAGATCAGATTCTATCTGTCTCAGAGTGTGAACTCCACTGTAGTACCAATAGGATCACACATCCTCATTCTGTTCCTTGATGCCAGTTCTGTCATGTTCTGAACTCAGTATCTTGTCTGTATGCTCCAGTCTCCTCAGTTCTTACCCATGCCAATGTCTGCAAACAGACTATGGTTCCTGGCTCAAGATTAGGCCTGCAGGCACTTCAGACTGAGATCTGGGTTTAGTTTTAGCCTTGCCTCACTTCCCCTTCTTCAGTTACTCTCTGAACCCATCATCTATGGTACTTATGCATTTACTTGATAGAGTGTGATGTATATTTAGTGGATAGCACATTAAGTACTGCATTTTTTCTCTTAGTGACATTCCAGTAGCATGGGAGGTAGGTTAACAATATCACTCTGAATATTAAAACTCAGATGCTGATATTACAGCCAGTGAGTTGGTGTTGTCCTTAAAACAACTGCTGGGTTGGTCCTGTGAGAGAGACTGTAACTTTTTTAGAAGTGTATCTATTTTTGCTAGTAAATTACATATTTAAGGTAGGTTGTTTGCATTTTTAATATATTTATATTTAAAACAGCCTTGGAAGCTGATTTTAGCTTTATTTTCACTTATTGAGCAGACACCCAGAAAATAAATATATTTAAAAGTTATACTTATCTGAAAATCTTGGCTCTCTTCCTTTAGGATTTGTGCTGTTCTATCATGTAGTCTTTATGAAGCTGAAGAGAGAATAAATCCATTCTCAACTACGCTATACAAGGATGCTCCAAACAAAAACCCATCTGTTTTTTGTGTTTGTTTTCCTATCAGTTTTGCAAGTTCTCTTTTTTATTTGTGTTATTCCAGACTTATTATACTATTATGTATTAACTTGTGTATTCTAAAATACATATAATTCTTTGAACTAAAAATAAAATGTATAAGTACAGAGCAAAATATATACGCCCCATAGGTGGAGGTGATATTCATGTGATAAATTGCAAATCCCAGTTATTAAGGTTGCTTTCACCACCTTACCTGCCCTGTACCCACTAATCCATATCCCAGGATTTATTCCACCATTCTCCCACATGGAGAGATGTGTGCACTAGGACTGTAGAGACAATTTAGCTACAAGGCAGAAGTGACCTCTGCTGTTGCTACGTGGCCTATAAAGCAGGATTCCTATCTATCTTCAGCACTGAACCAAGACTCTCGAGTTAGATAATGGGCATAAGAGTTCTGCTATAGTATTCTGAGTGCATATAATACAGTGTTACGGACTGGTGCACCAATAGCCTTTTTTCTAACTGTCTTTCTGTCTCTCTCTTGCAGACACCCACATATACACTTCCACCTACGTGAGAGCTGCGTTCAAATGACTGATATGTGAAACCATTCTGTCCATGGCTCGTGTATATTTATCTGAAAATGTTTAATCTTTAATCATCTAAATATACTGGCATCAAATGAAACATTCAGAAGCCTATAATCCGTAATTCACTTTTCACATTTTAGTTAGAATAGTTCCTGATCCTGCAAATGCTTACATATGTGCTTCACCTTACATCTTCAAATCAATAATGTGATTTTTATAGTAGGAATGGACTAGAGCAAGAAAGTTTGGATCTGAATCTAGTCCACGCCAACATTCATGAGGTGTCTAGATCTGGGTTTTTGGTTCAGGCCCATCACTGCTTTGATATTTGATTTAGTGTCTAATAATACTTTGTTGAAGATTGCCAGCATTTCCATTATAAACCCACTTCTTGAGAAGTTTATAATTCAGCCATAAAAATATTTGCCCTGGGCTAAATCATGTAATATAAAACATAAATGTCCAAATAAAAACATGGTTTTGCCATTTGAACAACAGTGGTACAGAACAGCTTTGAAGTTTACCCCTTTTATGCAGTTATATAACTCAGAAATAAATGTAATAAAAATGAAGTTTGGCAAGTGATTAATCATGACTGTAGACATATTTATATGCTGTTATTTTGAAAACAACAAAACAACAACAAACCATCCAAGATGTTTGCTCATGACAATGGAAGTTGTGCACTGTTACTTTATATTAAAGTAATTCTATTAGTTTTTATTAAGTGCTAGAAACAAATTTACACAATAAACAGCTATCTAGTAGTGTCTTCATATCTACTTTAGTCCTAGTCCATTCTTTGTAACCTTCTCCTCTCTGGTCTTCCTGTCTCTCATTTAGTCTCCCATAAAGTTTGTCCAAAATGAAGCTATTGTGTTATTTTCCTCTCCTGTTAGCCCCATCAGACACTTCCTTGAAACCTCCTTTTGGCTTCCTGTCTTTTGCTGCATTGAATTGAAGCTCCTCATTTTATAGATTATACATAATCTTGCCCTCCGCTACATCTCTTCTCTCCCACACTTTTTAACTCCTACATGTTGTATGCTCCCACTCAATCTTTCACACTCAATGCTTTTCTCGTTCCGCTTATCTTACTTCTCCCTTCAATATACAGCCACATAGTTCTGAAAGATGCTCCCTCTTCTTCTACAGTACACAACCTCACATTCTTCTTTTCCAGGCTGTTCTGTTCTGTTCAGGTTCTTACATTGTGCCCATCACTGGTACCAGAGATCTCTCCTGAAATCCTTCCTACATTCCCCAACTCCTTTCTTCCCTCCAGATATCTGTCCACACCTTCTTTACTAAATTATTTTTTTGTTTCTTGACTTGGCTTTGTTAGTCTTGTTTGTATTAGATTAAGCAGTGGATATGTTAAACATAATATGAATGTATGGCATTATGAATGATATTTAATAGTCAATTATTAAGAATTAATAATAACATATACCCAAACAGGTCTCAAGTAACTATCACCATTGGTCAGAGAAATAACGTGTACCAAATCTGCCTGTCTGAGGCTAAGGATCTGATCATACTCTCATCTAAGGCAATGGCAAACTCTCATTGACTTCAGTGGAGCAGGAAGAGGCCTTAGATAATTAACTTGTTTTATCGACTTTTTCCCCCCATTTGGTTAGAAAATGATGTGCTAGTGTATGTTTCAATGAAGATAAATGTGCAACATAAAAAATAGCCAGACCATTTAATATGTAAGGCTTCACTAAACTGAAGCTATATAATCATAAAAAACAAACATGAGTAAAGAACAATGTTAGACTTATCTTTGTATTTCCTGTCTTTTTCTGGTTTGGTTAGAAAATTAATGTACTACCCATCTAATTTATCTGTCTATATACATTATATAAATAATATAGTAATGTAATTATATATTACTATATATATTTTACATAATGATGCTAGAAAGGATGCAATGTTATTAGGAAAATGGAAGCTGTCATCATGATGCTGCATGTTTTTCATGCACCCCCTTCAACTCGAACACAGCAATCACTGTAAACAAGCAGTTGTACTGCATTCATTACAGATCAGCTTCCTTTTCTCAGCCATCTTTCATCTTCTTCAATAGATGTTCTCTATCATAATTTTGTCTGTCACTTATTACAGCTGATGTTAAATGGCTTTTCAGCTAAATGCTTGTTTGGGTTATTTATTAACTAGAGTATGTTTGTGGTGGCACACTTTGATGTTATAAACCAAATGGAGGACCCACTTGTAGACTGTAGTGGATTGACCAGAAATTCAAGAATGGTATTCAAGAGGATTAACCCTTAGGCTACAGATTACCTCCAGTGGGATGGTTTCAACTGTTAGCAGGGTTAATTAAGAGATAAAGTAATTGAAGTAGCAACTAACCTGTGCATCTTTATTCAGGAGATTATGTAAAATCAGGTCTCGAGCAGCAACTTAGATTCTACAACTTAGATTCTACTGTTTCAGACTGGGGCTTTGAAATAGAGAACAATAATTAATATTTGATCTAACAGATTCACTTCTAGAATGTCAGTGGTGGTTTATTTTAATATTATCCCCTTATTTCTATATCTGTAGAACCATTGCTGTGACATGTCACCCTTCACATAAGGATGCTTTGAATTTTTTTTTTATATTTTCATATTTTATGTTGTCATTTTTGTCAAGAAAAAATGAGTTTAAAAATAGACCCTCTGAAAGTATTTTAGCTTTATGGTATGGATGGTCAACTGATTTGTTTGAAAATTCATTTGTGGTGCACTCTGGTCAATATGGCATGATGGGGGAGAGGAAAATTGGATTGATAAACAATCCTCAAGCGTATCTTTACAAAATAAATTACCAGGCCTACGTGGGGAAATATATGCGGGAATAACCTATTTTGAAAAATGGTTGTGGTCTCCATTTCCTTCCTCCAATTTTCATCACCCATGTTTTACAAATATTGGACCCTATGCAGTTGCCATTGAAGTCAATGGCAAATCTCCCATTCCAATGGGAGCAGGGTCAAATAATAATTTGTGTCTACCTCTTGGAAAAAATGTGTTGTACAAAAAAAAAAAAAAAAAGCAGCAGCTTTCCTAGCAGTGGTCATCTTATAGATTCTTTAAGATCTGTCACAATCTCCTGAATCTTATTTCTTGGGAAAAGTGACAAATATTGTGATGTTAATTTTCTTGTGATCACCCATTTTTTATATGGCAAACCATTTGAATCCAGTTTGCACTGGACTTCATGATGACTTAGTGTCCTTTAGAATGGATTTCATCAGGAGACTTAAAGTTGTCCAGGTTGCCATAGCAGCTAAAACTTCTCCTTTTGTAAAATTGTCCCCAGCCGCTTGGCTTCTGTTAACCACTTAACCAGATACATTATTCCTTTAATGAAGTAGATCTTCAGCAGGCTCCTTCCAAATCTCTAAGTTATCTGTCCAACAAGTATGTCACTGCTGCGTGCAGTATTTTATTCACAGAGGCCATCTGGACAGCCTTGACAAAGGCTGCATATCATTTGCCAGAGAACATCTTGTTTGCTGTGAAAAAAATCAATTTTCTGTGTTCCTCAAAATGTACCCTGGGACGTTGGCTTTTCCTTCTCAAATGCTCTCTTGGCCTTACAGCACTGGGGCTTCTTTGTCATCAGCCCAGGATTCATAAACATAATATTGCCTCCTTTTTCATGTCTGTAGCTACTGTGTCATGCACACCATAACACTTTAGGATTCATTTCAAACTCTAATGATTAACAGTCATGCATTTGTTTATTCCAAAAAGAGCCAGGTTTGCACTATGAGTCCCTGCCACTTACATGTTGTTTTTGAGTTTTCTTTCTTGGCTTGCTCTTCGTGCATGGCTTAAAACATTCAGTTATTTTCTCCTCAAACTTTGGGGTAAATTCTGCCATTAGAAAGAACTCACTGATTAAAAAACAAAACAAATGTGTACTATATTTAGATGAAAAAAGATGCAAAGCCCACCTAAGGGCTTGTCTATGTGGGGAAAAGAACTGAACAGCTAGTGCAGAATAGCTATTGCTGTATAGCTATTGTGAACTGGCTCCCCATATGGGCATACTTATTCCATACTAAAGGGGTCTTTGTGTGGATTAAATTAAGCCATTTCCACATGGGGAGTTAGTGTAGAGTGGCTATTTCACACTAACTTCCCCGTTTAGAAAAGCCCTAACTGCAGAGAGTCGGTACAGCAGCTCTATGTGGTGAATTCTGAAGGTACTCAGTTTGTACTGAGAGGAAGGAAAGGTGGTTTTAAGTTAAGCAGAAAATATTGTTGTGTGTTCATGGGAAAGGACCAAGTCTGAGGCAGAGGATACAGGCAAAATCATGGGCTAACAAACCCCCACACCCCAAAGAGTGCTGAAAAAATATCACTTCAGTTAGGACTCAATTTTACAAGATCCTGAGCATTCTTAAAAGGTGCTGAGTGCTCTCAACTGCCACTGGGAGTTCAATCAGAGTTGCAGATGCTCAACTCTTTGGAGAAATACTCAGCACCTTGCTGGAGTGCTCTGTAATTTGGAGGATTGAACCCTTAATGCAGAAAGTTTAAGCGTTAATGCAGCCCCAAATGTCCTTTCACTGCATTCTCTATGATTAGGTAAAGGATCTAATGCTTTCATCCCTTTGTGATAACCTGTCTGCACGAAACATATTGTGAAGATATTCTCAAAATGGATGAAATATAATTTTTGACACAATTACAACCCAGGTTCTTCTCCTTGCTAGCATCCCATCTGGCTAAGCTGCACAGCCTATATCACATGGACTATATCACATGTTAAATAAAATTAAACTATATTTGTGACAATAATGGGAACTTGTGAGAGTGCTTGGAAATATTTCATTCACATATATAAACATGTATTTTGTAAAATATGTTCATTATGTAATGTATAGATATGAATATGATGTAGTCCGTACTAACATTATCTATTTTCCATTACTTCATATATGTAAAAACCTCTTAGTCCCGAATTCAGCAAAGCACATAAGTACATGCACATTGTGTTTTGAGTCTGATTCAATGCCTGTTGAAAATAACAGAATTTAGCCAGCTGCCACGGCAATGCCTGGTGGCCAGGAGGAGCAAACTGTCTGTCTGCAACACAGTAGAATGCAGGAGATGGCAGCTGGGATGTGGGCAGGCATGACGGGGCTACCAAATAATTGAATGACATTTGGCAGCCTGGCAATCCAGTTTCCGATGCACAGAAATCCACATCACAAAACCTCCATCACAATCAGTACACTTGTTGGTAGGCTAAGAAGATAGGCCAGACTGCGAGTGGGTATTGGAGACTGAACTACACTCTGACCTGTAAAGGTGGTGGCCTGGAGAATGGGTGGAGGTGGTGATGTTGAGGCATGTTGGTGAGGCAATATTGGCAAGCTTGCCCTGTTTCTTTAGGGTTGTCCCTACTTTTGTGGATAAACGGACATCTTCAGCTGCCAGGATGCGGGGAATAGGGCATGGACAGTCATGCCCAATGGTTAGAGTCAGGAGCTTGGAACGGGAGCTGAGGTCAGAGTGAAGTGTGAAGCTAAGGGTCAGAGCCGAAGATGGAGTCAGGTGCTGAGTCGAGGTTCAGAGCTGGAATCAGGAGTCAAGCCAAGGGTCGAAGCCAGAGTCAGCATCAGGGATAGAACACAGGAGCAGTGATCTGGAATAAGGCAGGAAAGCAGGAACCAGGGACAGACATGGGTCTGAGAGAAGGAGAAAAGAACCATGAACAGACCTGGAGGTGGGCAAGTAGGCAGGGTCCAGTAACAGCCATCCAGGAATTCATCTAGTTGCTCAAACAAATTCCTGTGCCTCTTTCCTGTTTAAGTAGTGCCTCCCAGCCAATTGATGGGGTTGGATGTCTCCCCTAATCAGGAGCTTTGTGGGTGGGGCTCCTTGCAAGCTAAAGCTTCACTAGCCCCCTTCTCCACATGTTCAGGGAGGCTGCTGGGTGGTGGCTACAGGCTGTTGACTGCCTGGGGACCATGGTCCCTCACACAGGGACCTCAGTCCATCACTTTTCCTAAGCACTACATTCCTATATGAAGAATTTATAAACAAAATGAAACCTATGGATATTGATTCCAAAATTAAGAATTCAATCTGAAATTTTAGAGTGTCCATTCATTGAGCGCACACTGTGTACATGTAAAAAACACCTGGTATAGGTGCTGTAGCAGCTGTGTAAAAGAGGCTAGGGATATTTATTAATAATTCTTCTCCTCAGCTAAGAGGAGAGTTATTGTAGAAGTCAAGCTTACTATTATTGTCACCTGGTGCTAGATTCTAACAGAGTGCTGCTTTGTTGCTGATTGAAACATGCTCAGGTTCTTTAGCCAAGATATTAGCCCACTGACCCATTGCCCCAAAATGAGAGTACTGTCTACCATAATCAACTTGTACTAAATAATAAAGTGTTATAGATATTGGGAAGAAACAATCCCTGAGCAGAAAATCATATGGTGTATCTGAGAATTATTTATTAAAATGGCTTTATTTTCCTAGAGAACTCAGACCCCTTCTTATGTCCCTTTCCTATGCCCTAAAGAAAAATTCAGTGTTCACAAGCGTTAGCTTAATATATATTGTATCAAATTAAATTAGTTTAGCTCAACTGCTAATTTAGTATACATCCAAAATTTTAGGGTTTTGTTTAAAAAGATGAGACCCAGAAGGTGTAAATGACCTGAAATGGAGCACCCTGCAGTAATTACATTGCCCAAGCTGAGTGAAATGCAAGAAGCATAACCACCATCTTAAATGGTGAAAAGTA